AGCTCCACAATAGAGCTTGGTTCAGGTTTCCCACACGTCCAAGTTTTCCAGTCATTGAAAATTATAAAAACAATAAAGAGTCACAGAAAACGTATGTGACTGTCCTGGAGAATGAAGCGGTTGAATGCCTCCGCCAATCAGTTGCTGTTTACATCCAAGTCTGTCTGATTTTTCGCTATTATTGCTATTGACCTTTGAACCACCAAAATCTTATCAGTGCATCCGTTTATCCTAATTGTATCTCATTGGACATTTGTGTGCAATTTTGTCATAATTAATCGCATATGAACTTCTGAGTTATGGCCAAAAAACATGTTTGTGAGGTGGTTTTTCTATGTTTTATTTTGTTATTTTAAATTGTTACATTTTATTTGATCAATGCAGATACCCTGTAAATATGGTTGTTTTATAAGTAATAAACCCGTTATTAAATATCACAATGTATAATGAGAATTATTGATGTAATCTATATTTTTTGGATTAGTTTAAACATTCAGTTTATGTTCCTTAAATGAGAAAAATATAGTTTAACAAAATCTATTTATTTTTGATTGGATAAAACAAATAATTTTTTGTGAATTGTATTTCTTAAATGAGAAACAACTGTTTGATCAAATCTATATTTATTTGTTTAGATTAAATATAGAATTTAAATGAATTGACTTCCTTCAATAAGAAAAATATACTTTGTGCCAAGTCTTATATAATAGTTTCCATGGACAAGTTATTTATTTTTCATTGGCTCAAGCTATAGAGTATAGATGTGAACTATTACCCTAAAACAAATGTCCCTGTCTTCTGAGACACAACCTTCCCCTGGCAGGCCTCGGTTCCCCTTTCTGGGTTGATACCAACAAAGCACCTAAAAAAACCCAGAAAAAGCATACAAGATATTGATGTGGTGGGTACAAATGATTTAAACTTAATACAGAGCTGAATACTTATCAAAAGCTCCTGTGCATTCAGGGAAACCACACTTAAATGATGCATCGGGAAGAGTGTAGAACTTCCCCTCGATTCCATTGGCTCTAGCGGTTATAAAGAGATTTCATTCCTCAAAATCGACCAAGGGGGGCCAGAGATATGGAGAATCCACCCAAATGACCCCAGAAGTGTTTTTTTTTGTGCTAAATCTCTCTAAAAAGGTCAAATTTCACTTGTTTTGCATCAATCTTGATACAGGGTACTTATTATATGTTATAGTTTGGATTCCTAAAGCTTTTAGTCTACTAACCCATCATCCAAGGGTAGTTTTCACCAGTGGTGTAGTGGGGATTTTTTTACTGGGTGGACGGAGACACTATGGACGCGCTCGTGAACTGTCAACGGGGGGGGGGGGGGGGGGGGGGTACACTGTGGACCTCTGTGTCGCTTGTCAGCTCAACATGATGCCGTTTAAACAATATAATAATAAAGGGCGGTGCCGGCCGTCAGCGAACCGATCCGGCCTTTCTGCGCGACTGTCACTCAAATGCGGGACATAGCCTCAATTTGTGGGACGCGGGACAAATAATAAAAATGCTGTGTGTGCAGTCCCGCACAAAGCGGGACACCTGGTCACCCTACACACACACACGGTGCTGCCCCTCACACACACACACTTCAAATCAAGTTGCATAAATGCTTGAGCTACGTTTTTATTATAATTACTGTGAAATCTGCCTATTATGTTTTCGTCATTATTACAACAAATACACACTTGCAACTGATAACACTGGCAATGATTTTATATTTATTAGACTGTTAAAAAAAAAAATCATGCTTCAAATAAGTGGGGGTACGGCGTACCCCCGCGTCCAACGCCCACTACACCACTGGTTTTCACTATAAGTAAAAAATTATTTTTGGACGGACACTATAATTGACAGTTTTTTACTATGTTCAATCTGAATTTTCTTTAAAATAAAAAACATCTATATTGATTCTGACTTTTCTACATCCAACTCACAGGTTTATCATTACTTTGAGAACAAAGATTATTAATTTAACGCTTTTAGAAGGGAAGATATGGTCATTTGTTCTGGGAATGTCATTTTCGAGCCTGAGACCTGAAAAACAGGCTCAGGGCTTAAGAGGAACAAATGTTTACTGAAGAGCACATTTCAATCAACGTAGCACATTCTAAAATAAATTGTAGTTAAAGTAGCCACACAACAAATAGCAAAAAAGAGTCCAGTTAGTCATATACAGTAGGTTTTGCAACAAATCAATTGAGGACAGACAAGGCTAAATTAAAGTTTGATTACTTAAGAATTCAATGCTGTGGCTCTGAGAAGAAAATGTTAAAACATGTAACTAGCTAGCTAGCAAGTTAATGTTAACTTACAACATTTGCAAGCAGTAGACAATCATTTTGGCAAAAATCTTTCAAAACGATGTAATTTCAGATTAAAACTGGGCTAAATTAACTTTGACAAAATTGGTATTACAGTACCTTGGTAAGAGCAGGATGGATCCTGATAGTTGAAGAAGAAATGTAGCATGTGGTAAAATGACGACTTCAATGTGCTGCCAAGGTTGTTTCCAAGCTGAGAATCTTCCTCTTCTTCCTTCTACCTTGACAAAAATCTTCAATCTTCTATATTGTATGCATTTGGAGGAATTACTTTGTGTTTAATGTAAGCTAAATAAGATGGTGTATCTTGATGCACTAGGATTATTTCCAAATGAATTAACCTGTTAAGCCTGATAGCCCCCGAACAATTTTCACGAAACTGTGTCTCAGGGCTTCTTAACATTTAAGAATGGAGCAACTCTAGCAAACTCAACTGAAACACAAGAAATACTGTATCATACTGTAATATTTAGCACAGTAACTTACTGTTTATACTTCTTTCCTCAAAGTCATGAACATTAACAGTGTTAATCTGTATTTACTAAAAACGATAGATTACTGTAGAAAATCCGTATTTTTACAGCTATTTGTTACAGTGCAGGTTCAAGCTTAACGTTCTATACCCGCACACAGCAGCACCAGTTTGTATCTTCTTTTCTCTCTTTCTCTTGCTCTGGTTTCAGAACAGGCAGTCCTAACCAGCTGTGAAATGAACATGATTGGCTCTTTGCTGCATGAACATCGCCCTCCCTCCCCCACATGCATTGACCACATCACATCTTGTCTGTGTTTTGGATCCCTTTATTTTGTCTTTTTATTTCAAAATATATGTTTCACAAATCCAAACCCTGTCCCCTCTGAGGTCGTGCACAGATGTTTAGCGGCTTCTCGTGAAGATAACAGTGAGTGGAGGCTGTCAGTGTGTGTTTGAAGTGAATGCATACAATCATCTGATATGAGGCTGGAGACTGAGTGTCTTGTCTGTCTGTGGACCAGCTGTCCAGGGACGTGTTTGTGGGTGAGCAAGGATGTGTGTGTGTGTGTGTGTGTGTGTGTGTGTGTGTGTGTGTGTGTGTGTGTGTGTGTGTGTGTGTGTGTGTGTGTGTGTGTGTGTGTGTGTGTGTGTGTGTGTGTGTGTGTGTGTGTGTGTGTGTGTGTGTGTGTGTGTGTGTGTGTGTGTGTGTGTGTGTGTGTGTGTGTGTGTGTGTGTGTGTGTGTGTGTGTGTGTGTGTTTATCCCTACTGTTATCTGTGACAGATAGTTATGAGCAGACAGACTGACGCTTTCCCAAGTGTTAGCCTTGGGGCAGGCTGGGGAGAGGCATCAGTGTGTGTGTGTGTGTGTGTGTGTGGTGTGTGTGTGTGTGTGTCCGTGTGGATGTGTGTCTGTTTATGTGAGAGAGAGATAGCGAGAGAGAGAGTAAGAAAGGAGGAAACAAGCTGTTTGTGTTTTCTTCCTTTTCTTGCAGTTTTTCTCATGATCTGACTTTCAGCAGAAATCATAATTTTCAGACATTCTCTCTCACTATACGGTATTCCATTTTTTTTCTTCTTTCAAGGAAAAACTGCCTACATTACTTTAGAAATGTTATTATTGTGGAGTAGAGTTATGCCAAAATAAAATATGAAGCTACCTCTCCCCAGTTTTGCTCAGTTTTACATATAGACTACAACATCAAGGAAATAACTAGCCCTCTGTCACGAGATAGCAAAATTGACATACCTGCACCTCTGAATCACACCAACACACATTTGTTTAATCGTACTATTGTTTTGGGTCCTGGAGATCCCATGCTCAACAGATTGTATAACCGTTGGACAGAGCCAGGGGTCCCGTTCACCCGGTTTCAAGTATTTAAGCTAAGCTAACCTTGCTGGCTGTAGTCTTTTATTTAAAAGACAGAAATTGGACTTACATTGGTCACATGCCAAGAGACACAGTATCTGCTGGATAATTTATAAAGTTATAATATACCAGTGTTGTGCTTTATAACTTGTTTGAACACACCTAGGCAAGGCCGGATTAGTACCTCCAGGGGCCCCTGAGCACTGAGAGCTCACGGCCCCTCAACCCACGTAACAACACGCCTACCCAACATGACCAATATTTTAAATGTTCATTCAATCTGGCATGTCAATCGCACACCTATTTGTCAAAAGCAGGGACGCAGCTACATAGTTCAACCAAAGTAGGTCTAGCCTTTTGCCTTTTCAGTCAAAAATCACACGACAAGGATACAATGGATAAGATCTCAAGACAGTGTATGGCTCAAGAAGACCTAGGTAATATCACTTAAAACCTCAGAGCAGCACCCCACTTAAAATGCCAAAATATGACTGGCTGGCTGTACAAGTACACAAGGAGTTATATTTGTCACAAACATCGAGAGCACTTTCAGTAAGCCCAGAGAGGAAGATCTGTCAGTCACAAACCAACTGGTTAAAACAAGACAAAACACAGTATGTCTAACTACAGAGCGTGTTTGTGCTGCTTAAGGATGTGATGCTTTCATGTAAATCACTGCTCATATATTGTGTTTTACAATTGTGCGGTTTAGACTGTTTCCAGGTAGCAGTACATATACCTGCAGACATGCTTCATAACGAACATAAAAAATACCCAAAGAAAAGGATTTGCTCTGATGGAAGCTTATTTGATTCCCTAGGCACCGGTCCTGTCTGCAGCCTCTCTGGTTCCTCCTCTCAACACCTCCCTGGATCTTATAGGTGAGTGCCTTCAGTTCAACCCAATCACACCTTCAAATGCTTTTACTGTATTTAGAACATTTTATTTGCTTTAATTTTTGGATTTATTTATTAAAGCTTGTAGTATTTGATTGTTTACCTTAATGCAATTGTGAAGTATATAATATATATATAATTGAGAGTTAGACAGTTTGTTGGAAGGGGTTACCGGGTAAAACTGGGTAAGAAAAGTTCAATTCCTCACACAGTGAAGCCTGCTTTAAATCCTGTACGGACACACTTCTGTAAAGAAATAAAGGATTGGATGTGGCCACAGTTTCATAATTGTTGGAACAAGGAAATTCAATCAGCCAATCAGAGAGTCATCTGAGTTGCTTTGATTTATCACCAGCTCTCTTCCTCTCCCTTTGTTAATGCTTTCTGTCCCAAGCTGACTTTCTTTTCTCTGTTGTCTCTCCTTTCTTTCTCCAAAGCTAAAATGGGAAAACCTCAATCTGGGGTTTAAAAGTAAGGTAAATACTGGAGCTACTTCTTGGTAAACAACATGGGGAGTGTTATGGGTCCCCTAGTATACAAATGTCTGGACGTATATGACTATAATTGCCCATTTTAATTGACTCCTTGTTTCAGTGATTTATTGGATGATGAATTCAGCACATTTTTGTGCAGAGGATGTATGGAAGCTGTGTCACAAGCAGGCCAAAAACATCTGCTTCTTTACTCAAGATAAATCACTTTGATGAATTGTTGTAGGAATATTCATTCAGATTTGAATGAAAATGTCTAGGCCACATCCAAACCTTTACCCAGGCATCAGGTCCACACTGGTGCAGTGAGCTAAAGGCGTGACTACTTTGAGCAATCTCTTTTACGACACAGTAGCTTCCTACTAGGGCTGCCCTGGACTAAAGATTTTTCTAGTCGACCAATAGTCGTCAATTAAGGTGATTAGTCGACTAATCGTCGCACGTTTATATATTATGATTATAAATATATTGGTTTTAATTCTTATTTTCTTCTCCCAAAATGGTTTCAGTTTCAAAGGCTGATAAAGAGCGTTATTATAACAGAATGGTACATTGTGCTTCACATACAATATAAAATAAAACTGTAATAATGAACCTTTGAAATATAAATTAAATGTAGAGAGCGCATGAGTCACAGTGCACGGATGCAGCGGTATAAACAGTAGAAGCTCCGGTAAGGATTCTTATTGTGTGTGTGAACAAGCAGCGAGGACACACACGGAACATTTAGTTCTAGTTTCTATTATTCATATCTGAATATAACAACCCAATAAATACTACAGAGGAAACAGAAACGTCGGCAAAAATCCCTCCGCATTACGCCCTGATCAAGAAATTAAAGCTTTATCGTTTTCTGAGGTCAGAATGATTATATATTATAGGTCTATATATGTTGATACAAAGCTAGGCTACTGCCTGAGTCACTGCTGCTGTTTTCCTCTGAGTCTGAGAAAGTAACACACGTTGTCGTCGGGATAATTAAGCTCTGTGTTTTGTTATGAAGCCGGCATTCAGGAAGCTGCGCTGTGATGGTGTCGATATGGAGGAGACTTTTTGCCGTCGTAGTCTGCATGTCACCTTGTGGGACTCGTCCTTTACTCGCTCAGAAAGATCCACACTTTGGATTTCCTGCCCGATGTTGTGTTTCTATAATTTGAGGTAGGAGTAGCTGAAAATAATCCAGGAAGTACTCGGCCGAGGTCTTCTCCTATTTCTCTGATCCACAGTCCACATAAAATGCAGTTATCTGTCTCTCAGATTCACAGGAAGAAGTCCCATTCTCTTGTGTACATCACATTTTATTCTCTCTGTAGATTGAATAGAGTCTTCTCCCATTGGTTGGCGGGGAGGGGGCAGGTTCTATTGGCCCCTTTGTCGGCGCATAGGTGTGACCCAAGCCCCCAGGAAGTGCGCCGGACTCTGAGGAAAATATTAGTTGTGGCCAAACGGCGTCACTGGGCCCAGAAAGACTTTTTCCCATTAACTAACATTGGGAAAGAGACGTCTGTAAATCAGCGGATAATTTTTTTTAACTAAATAAACTACCCAGTATGAACACTTTTATAGCCCTTATTAGATTTGTGGGGGTAGAGCGGGGTTGACGACACGCAATCCAAAGCTATAAGCAGCTGAAGGTTTTCAGTCAAAAAAATGAAAATTAATTAACAAAAGATTATTGACTTAAAGTGGACCTATCATGCTATATTTGAATATTATAAAACGGACAAGTAAAATCAAGCAATCTGATTGGTTCTTAGCCGTGGTATACTGAGCGTATACCACGGGTAGAATTGTAAGTTACTTTTCACAACAAGTCAGTATCCCTCCGCGTCTGAGATAAACAGTATACAGTTGGGCTGAAAAGCAAACTGCCTGCAGTTTGCTTTTCAAACTGGAACAAGAAAGCAGCGGAGAAGTAACGGGGCAGAAACCCTCCTTTTTACGCAACGGTCCAGACATAGACATCAAACGGCAAAAACATATTCAGTGTGCAGTTCCTTTGGCATTAGGGCAGGGATATTTAGATACTTTCCAAGGTTTGACATAATGAATTGTGCTACTTTTAAAGCAAGCAACGATGTTTTCAAATCTGTAATCAAAAAGGTCCGCAAAAACATTTAAGATTAACTTCGACCTCCGGGGCGAACCACGCCCCTTAGCTGTGATATAATGAGCATATACCACGGCCTGTCGTGAGCTATTGCTTAAATATAGTGTAGGACCATACCTACACTGTAAAAATATTCACCGTGAATTCACAATAAATACTTGGCCAAATTTTGCATGACTTTCACAGTAAGATTCACAGCAATTTACTGTGATTGTCTTCACAGTAATGTATTGTAATTTCACACCCATGATATTACAATGCATTATTGTAAAGGTAAAACTGTATACTGTAACTTCACAGCTTCAATGACTAAGGAATTACTGTGATATTACAGTATGTTACTGGGGAATTACATCATTTTGTTGTACATGCATTACAACAAGGGCCTGTACTTTTACATTTCTATTGTGAAAGCAATGCAGGAGTTGCCAGTAATTTACTGTGAATTTACAATGTGTACTGTGAAAGTAATGCAGATGAGTAGCCAGCAATTTACTATCAATTTACAATGATAGACGTGCATAACTGTACTCCCCAGCTCCGGTCCTTCCTGGAGGAAGCTCATACAATGGTTTCCTGTCAAATACTATTGGATGACGTGACTAATCACGTCATCCACATACAGCAAGCAAAAATGCACAAAAAGCATCTCACCCGTGAGTCCAGTTGGGTCAAATCAAATAGGCTACACTGTAAAAAAGAAAACTGCCAAACAAAAACCCTTAAATTAAAGTAAAATACTTTCACTGAAATAAAGTGCTAAAGCAATTAATAAACAGGAATTGTCCTTAAAGATTTTACAGGAAACCATTGTAGTGTTACAGATGTTTCCTCTCTTTTCAAAATCCATTGTCTTAAAATGTTACATTCAAATACCTTAAATAAAGTTCTGATGAGAAAAACTGTTTTTTACATTTTTTTTATTAGATTTTTATGATCAAACACAAAAGTAAATGCAGAACCTAAAGTTCTACAGGTAGAATACTGTTATTTTACAGCTTTTTTCTAACATTTTCCAATCAAAGACGTTCAATAAAAAGACAGCACAAAATGTTCTGTAGGGAACAATTACTATAAAAATTTTAAAACTTAAAATATAAAAATATTTGTAGAATTATACAACCATTAATGAATACAGCATTTAATATTTAAACATCTACTTATAAACAGTATAAACAAAAAGTAAGTTTAATTTTTTAAGATTACTTTGAAACATTCTCAACTGAAAATAACAGAAATTACAAAATGGCGACATATGTTCACATTGTCCATTTGAAGGAGCAGTGTGCAGGATTTAGTACGTCTAACAATGGTAGGTTCCAACCAATGGATAACTTGTTCACTCACCCTCCTATCCCAAGTTTGTAGGAGAATGTATATTGGCTGCAAAAAACTTGAGGCCCAATCATGTTTCCTCTGTCCATTCTGCGCTACTGTAGATGTGGCAGTGCAACCTAGAGGACAAAAAGACAACAATTAGTAAACCATAATGATGAATGTTATTATCAGCAGCTGCCAATAGATCCCCCATCTTGTATGATGGACCTTTGAAGCAGGGTTGGAAACTTAAACACACTATTGATTGTAAAAACAGTTCTTGATGGCATCCCAAGGGAATTGATCAAATGCTAAACCCCTTCCAGAAAAAACAACTTTCTAATACCTTAGAAACTACAACTAGGCGCTGGCACGAATGCAGTGCTTCAGCTTCCTACAACTTTAAAGCTGTGTGGATGTGGCTCTATGAAGAGTTGTTCATATTTTTCTCATTCATTTCATAAGTTTAGAAGCGGGGAACATAGTCTAACAACAGTTAGCTTTTGTTAATGTTACCTCGAGCCAAACTTGTGAGACTTGTTTCTGAAATCCCTTTCTCTTAAAGTGAATAAATAAAAAAACCCTTACCCTAAAACTAACCACTGGATTGCTTGTCTAACATGACCTAATCCATAAATGAGGTAAGGGTGGGAACAATCAAACGCACTCTCGCAGGCACTGCGTGTTAGCGAAGTACAACTGGGATTTCGAAGAGGAAGATATGCTTGGTTGAGCACTTGAGTTTTCATTAGCAGCACCTAGCTACAGCTGCGGAGCTTCGGTCAATACCGCTAACAGTCTATTTCCTTAAAATGGTACATATCGCTGAATCTATATTTTCATCTTCAGTTGATGAAATCTGCATAATGTCCCTGTACAATAAGATTCGAGCATTTTGTAATCCAGTGAGGAAATTCAAGACCAGTAAATATTGATTGATTAAACAACACTGAATACAATTGTAGGGTTTTCTTCAAACTCAGACTCTCTGCTGCGGCTGTACCTCAAAAGACAAAACAATTGTCTGATACGGTGGCCCGGAAGTGCAAGACACCACAGCATTTCAG